TATCTTGACCCAGGTGGTGTTTACATAGCTATATTCACTTTGCAAAAAATTCATTGTGCTGTATACTTAGATCTTTGTAAGTATAGGTACTATAGTTAATTTATGCTATAATACAATATATATCTTACTATTAGTATCTTATGCTATATGTATCTTATACTATAATAAAAGTCATCCTAAAAGTAACCAAGTTAAGATTTATTAACAAGTGATACAATTGTGCCATTGTATAAGTGCATGTGTGTAACAAAACCTCTTTGTACTTATGAAAGAAAATGTAAGAGTGCTGGCAATTTGAATTTTGAAGCACAAACTCCAAACGCAGACTTGATGAATGATCCCAGTGCAATACATTTGATTAAAAAAAAGCAAGTGAAAAGATTATTTAAAGGAGAGTAATTGTGATTATTATAAAAAAGTAAGTTTTCTATGTATAGCCTTTTTAGTATTACAGCTTTGATTCTAAAAGAAGCAGTCTTTTATTCAAAATAAGAGGATTTAAAAAGTACATTTAGTCAGCTAATTTATAATCCATACTGGGAGTTCTTAAAATATTATACAATGATTATTTTCAACATTTAATGAACCACTTTAGGAGCAAGTTAAATTTCCAGGCATGCTATTATAGTGCAATCATGTCATTCCCCTTCTCAAAATGTTTAGTCCTACTTTATTGCATAATTTATAGGAATCAACTTTACTTAATATGCTGATATTTAAATTCTCCATAAAAATCACTTGAATGTATCTTTTTCTCTTTATCAGTTACAACTTCCTAACTTGTAACTGATGTTTTAGCTAATTTCAACATCTCAGTGTTCCCCACACCACCCCCAACTTCTTTCTATCCCCTATATTTTATTTGTACTTGTTCCCTTGAGAAAAAAAAAAGAAAGAAAAACATGAATTCCTATAGCATTTCAAAAATTATGTTCCAGCCTTGTAACTATTTATTACTTGGAGCTTCTGGGTCATCACCCATGTTTTATTATGTGAAGCCTCATTAAACAGAGGCAAGTCAGGGCCTCCCCTGGGAGCCATGGCTTATTTGAGGGAGACTTCTCACTAAAAAGAGATGATTTGCTTAACTCTACAACTCATGTCCCTACTCATCAAGAGGGCAACAGTACCAAAGCATCCCCAGCTTCCTAAATACAAATAGATTTCTCACTATTGTGTCTATTTTTCCCCAATGAATCCAATTAATTTCACTGACATCAGAAATTTGAGGGGTGACTAGTCCTTTCTGAAGTCTAAGGCTTCTTAATTGGGTTTTGCAGTAAATTCAGTGTCTACATTCTTAATCCTTATAGAATTGATGTACAAATTTGTTTCACAAAATTTTTTGGCATAGCTTCTCACAAACAATTCTCAGTTGTAAACACACGTATAGAAATATATTGTCCTTTTCCTTAATCTATGTTCCGAGTTTTGATATACACGTATTTACGTATCTATGATGTCTGTGAATTCCTAAATATATTTCATCATGGTTTCCTCTATCATCATACCTAATTCAGGCAAGTTATGTTTTAGTCCCACACTGGCCATTATGCTAAATGTGGCTACCTTGCTATTTTCCAAAAGAAATTATTAATTATTGTTTTAAAGATGTATCTTTCATACCCGTAATGAAGCACTATGGAAAAGGCACATCTTAACTACTCAAGATCCTTCATTTTCATCTATCTGCCATGCTCTGTGTCCCTTTCAAAAACCTTCAGTCCTGCTATATAATCTTCTCTACCCCAGCCACTACCCCCAAGAAGTTCACCCCAGTCTCCTCGGGTGGCATCTTCCTTTCCAGTGAGCAGCCCTGCTAAGTTACTTGCCTTTATCATTTCTTCAAGGACTCCAGTTATCAGCATTTTATGCATCTTCTTATATTTTTCCTAATGCCTCTTTAAGAACAGAGACATAGAAGTTAGATTGTCAAGGCTTAAATCTCATAAGCTGAGAAATCTGAACAAAGTACTTAACTTCTCTGCTTCTCAGTTTCCCCATCTGTGAAATATAGATAATAATAATACCTACTTCAGAGAATGATTGTAGGGATTAAGATATTTAATGTATGTAAAGCACTCGGAACTGTGACTAGTTAATAGTTGGGGTTATGTAAGGGCCAGTTGTAATTATTATTGGGACTATTATTATTGTATCACTTCTTGAATGCTAGCAGTGTATTCTGCTATAGTTCAATTATACCCACCTCTACTACCTTCAGTACAGCTCTCACAGAGACTTACTTCCATTACATAGTTAATAAAAATATATGTAACTAATATATCAAGTGGATTGGAAGCCTCAGCTTGGAAGCCACATCACTCAAGCAACACATCAGAAATTGTTTAAATGGATGACTCCAATAAGCTAAAAAGATTGAGAACATTTTAGCAGTCAGAATTCCTTTTTGGAAAGAAAAATTGATTTTGTTAGGAAAATAAATTAGTGAGTGCTTGTAGTAGAAAATAAGACCTCAAGGATTGGAGGAGGTAAGGACTGTCAGACATAGAATGTACTACATTTGAACAGAGAAAGATTTCTTCTAGCTGAAGCAGGGGGAAGAGAGAGGACAGGGTTGTGGGTGTTGACACAGGGTCAGTAGGCTTGCACTCAGCCGTCTTAGTCTTCCTTTCCACCTCCACTACAAAATTCTAAAAGCTCAATCCCCTTTATCCCCATCCTCCTACACACACAGCTTTGTACAGTGTTGAAAATAAATACTCGGTGCCACAAAGAAAAATGAGCACTCAGACTAAGGATTTTTCAGCAACACAATTTTTACTTCCTGGGCTGCAGAAGGGTACACCCACTAGTCATTGTGCCATGAGAGTACAATGAACAAAGGAAAACACACAAATTTATCCCTTATGCATTTGGGGTTGTCCTTACTGCTGTGTTTGATCTCCATTGACTGGAGCCAGCCCTCACAATTTAAGCTAAAACCTCATTGGCTAATAACTTAAAAGTTTTTTAAACAGGTAAAAGCAATGGAGAGATGGGACATGCCTGTGAGCATGTCCAGCACAGATATCTTGGTTAAAGCACAAGGACAAAGAATGTACTACATGCCTGTATGCATGGCATTTCTAACAGCTACATAGGATAGGGCTTAACAAAGTTTTTAGCACACTTATTTTTTTAACAAGAAAGGAAACTTTAAAAAGGAACTGTTTTACTTCCCACACCAGTGTACTTCCATTCTCCTTTATCCCATAAAATGTGAAAAGCCTGGGCTTCCTGTGAAGACCTAACAAGAATGGATCAATAAAAAAGCACCAAGACAGAGCTAGAGAGAACCAGGAGTGCATAAGCTGCCAGAACTAAGAAAATTATGGAGAAGCTCTGGACTTTTCCCAATCAACAAAATTAGCAGATCCAAGTGAAGCAACCTAAATTGCAAAGGGAAGGATATGTAGGTGATATTGGCCTTTAAGAATGTTTATTGATTCTGTGCCACTTCTTTCTGAAAAAGCAAAGAAGAAAAAAAAGATAAAATAAGAAAAAAAAAAGAACGTTTATTAAAAAAGATTATGTGTTATTTTTCTCAATGAATAATACTAATCCTGGTACAGTGAATCTCTATGAATTCCCTCCCTATCAACTCTTTTTTTTTGTTTTTTAATTGGAGATAGGGTCTCATTCTGCCACCCAGGCTGCCCATATTTTCTTCTGGGTGCTGCTCATGGTCAGTTTTATGGGCATAATGACATCAGTACGCTGTGGATATGTTCTCTGACTTCTGAGACACTCAAGCTAACTCGGATTCTAAGGGTCTTTCTTCAAACTTTCTGGAAACAAATTTATGAAGATCTCTCTTCTTGATGAACACTATCATTGTTATTATTATCATTTTGAGACAGAGTCTCACTCAGTTGCCCAGGCTGGAGTGCAGTGGTGTGATCTCGGCTCACTGTAACCTCCTCCTCCAGGGTTCAAGTGATTCTCCAGCCTCAGCCTCCCGAGTAGCTGGGATTACAGGTGACTGCCACCACACCTGGCTAATTTTTTGTATTTTTAGTAGATATGGGGTTTCACCATGTTGGCCAAGCTGGTCTTGAACTCCTGACCTTGTGATCTGCCCACCTCAACCTCCCAAAGCTTGTTTTTTTTTTTTTTTTTTTTTTTTTTTTCTTGTTTTGAAAGTTTTTATTTGATTTGGTATTTTAATCATAGGCTGGGAAAAAATTCATTTTTTCACATACAAAAAGCAAAGAAAAACTCAACAACAGCAAATCACACCAGGATTATAGAAAAGAACGTTACTGAAGACAGTGTTTCAGATTTGAAAGCCATGAAGTTTCTCCCTTTTAAATGTTCGGAAACTTCAAAGATTAGGAAACCAGAGAGCAAAAATGTCAGTCATGGAAGGCTGAGTTTTCCCAACCTGGGTTCCAATCTCTCCCCAGTTAGTGTCAGTGATGGCTCTTCTGGGCATCCAAATGATGAGAAATGAGCTTCTGTTCGTCTGGTACAGAAAATGTGTATGTCTTCTCATACCTCCAGCATCACCACGTTTCTCCTTCAGCAGGTTCCAAGCTTCATGTTACATATTGTAACATTAATGAAATATGACTCACTCACTGACCCAAAGAACCCTGTTTGTGTCTTCATCTACAAAGTGAGGTGACTATGTAAATAATTCAAAATCAAACTAATCCCATACTTCCCTCATTTTTTACAGTCTATGTTTAACAGATATCTGTTTATTTGTAGAGACTACATCTTAATATGATCTTATGCTCAAGGGCCAAGAACCATGCCATCTAAAAAGTCAAAATGTGAAAACACACACCACAACTCCTAAAATAGTTCAAAGAAATGAGAAGCTAATGCTGATTTAAAAGTGGACAGAATAAAAGTTTTGGCCAAGTAGGAGCCATTCATAGTAACTTCACTCTAACAAGAATCTATACAGTACTCCCATCATAAGTTATGGAGGGAGGCTCTAAAGAGAACTTGGACCCTGGTCTGCTGGTTAATCATCTACTTACATTGCTGAATTTGCCCAAGTCACAAATTGGTCTAGCTGCTGCTTGCTTGCGTGTCTTTGCATGGCACCCTCACACCAAGTTTGCAGTGGCCCTACTAGATGATTCAGTCTGTGTGTATAATGCCAGCAGCACCATAGTCCCCTCCCTGAAGCACCGGCTGCAACAAAATGTGGCAGCTCTGGCCTGGAAGCCCCTCAGTGCCTCTGTCTTGGCTGTGGCTTGCCAGAGCTGCATTCTCATCTGGACCCTGGACCCTACCTCCTTGTCTACCCGACCCTCTTCTGGCTGTGCCCAAGTGCTGTCTCACCCTGGGCACACACCTGTCACTAGCTTGGCCTGGGCCCCCAGTAGGGGGCTGCTGCTCTCAGCTTCACCCGTGGATGCTGCTATCCAGGTATGGGATGTCTCAACAGAGACCTGTGTTCCCCTTCTCTGGTTTAGAGGAGGTGGGGTGACTAACCTGCTCTGGTCCCCAGATGGCAGCAAAGTCCTGGCTACCACTCCTTCAGCTGTCTTTCGAGTCTGGGAGGCCCAGATGCGGACTTGCGAGAGGTGGCCTACTCTATCAGGGCGCTGTCAGACTGGCTGCTGGAGCCCAGATGGCAACCGATTGCTGTTCACCATGTTGGGGGAGCCACTGATTTACTCCCTGTCTTTTCCAGAATGTTGTGGTGAGGGAAAGGGGTGTGTTGGAGGTGCGAAGTCAGCAACAATTGTGGCAGATCTGTCCAAGACAACAATCCAGACACCAGATGGTGAGGAGAGGCTTGGGGGAGAGGCTCACTCCATGGTCTGGGACCCCAGTGGGGAGTGTCTGGCTGTGGTCATGAAAGGAAGCCCAAGGGTACAGGGTGGTAAACCAGTCATCCTCCTCTTCTGTACTCGAAACAGCCCTGTGTTTGAGCTCCTTCCCTGTGGCGTTATCCAGGGGGAGCCGGGAGCCCAGCCCCAGCTCATCGCTTTCCATCCTTCCTTCAACAAAGGGGCCCTGCTCAGTGTGGGCTGGTCCACAGGCCGAATTGCCCACATCCCACTGTACTTCGTCAATGCCCAGTTTCCACGTTTCAGCCCAGTGCTTGGCTGGGCCCAAGAACCCCCTGCTGGGGGTGGAGGCTCTATTCGTGACCTGCCCCTCTTTACTGAGACAGCCCCAACCTCTGCTCCTTGGGGTCCTCTCCCAGAGCCACTACCTGTTCTGCCCCACTCCCCACATTCCCACCTCTAATAAATTTTCCTTTTGTTTTTCAAAAAAAAAAAAAAAAAAAAAAAAACAGATGTGAGCCACTGCACCCAGCCATTCTTAAGTAAAATTATAAACTGCTGAAATCAAGAGCTCTCAGTGAGATGTGTCTGGTCTATAAAACAAATGCTTCACACTGACGTAGAGCAAAGCCAATGTCCTGAAAGAAACAGAGAAAAGGGGACAGAAAAGTCATGGTGGCTTGAAGGCCCTAGCCTATCTCCTCTTAGTCCTGGATCTAGCATTCTTTCTGCCGTTTTCAAATCTTAGTTCTCGACTCTCTTGATTCTAATTCATACAGATATTTCAACTGTGAGACAACTACATCCAATTGAATTTCTACTTCTTGCTTAAAATATATTAAAAACCCATATATTCAGGTAATCTCTGCCAAGCGATTGTTAAACTATTATATATAAACATTTAAAGTATTTCACTCTAAAATTGCAGATGTTGCTTATTTTCATAATCTTTATAAATGAGCCTTTTAGTAAGTAGATATTTCAAAAAAAATTGCATGAATTAACAAAAGAACAGTATCAGGATTCTGTTACAAAACATGCCAATCTCTACTATAATAAAAATGTAAATATTTGTTCATTTAATAGTTCCAACAAAAAAACAGGATATTTTATATACTGGCTTCTCCCAATGCATGTTTTATAAAATACACTATTAAAAGACATTGTATAATGTTTAAATATACTATTAGAAGATGCGTGTATAATAGCATTTGTGTATATATATATATATATTATACTGGAGGTTTTTTCAGTATCTTCGATATGCTAATGAAAACCTGAACCTTCAAGATGAGCCTATTGATCACAGTGTTTTCCCAAACTTACTATAACATTTCTTTTTCTTTTATCAGATTAGATTATTTTGGGACTAGAGTTGAAACGTGCTAATATATATAGTTAAAATATATATTTGTACAAGAAAATAATATAACAAAGTGGAAGAACATACATCAAAGGTGCATACATTCAGAGGCATTTAGAAGTCTATAAAACTCAAACTTTCCTAAGTCTCAAATGGCCTAACCTGAAATTATAGTAATAATCATAAGCACAACCAATCCTATATTTCTTAAGTAACTGCTAAGTGTCAGGCACTGAAAATTTTTACAAACTACTTTATTTGATAATTTTGTCACTAAAACTAACTGTTAGGCGGGCATGCTTGTCCCGATTTTACTGGGGAGGGAACCTATCCAAAGCTGACTATATCCTTACAGTCAAAGAGTTTGGATTCTAGTCTGGTTAGCCAAATAAAGAATTCAAAATGCAGATAACAGTTACACCTCAAGATGTCTTAATTACAGTTAATTTAGATTTTTTGTTTGTTTTCAAAAAGAAAGTATATTTGAAACAATTTTCTTTAGGTATTACTCCAACATTGTACAGTTTTTGTCCACACAGCTAATGGTATGGTGTGGCTGTGTTCCCACCAAAATTTCATCTTGAATTATAGTTCCCACAATCCCCACCTGTCATGGAAGGGACCCAGTGGGAGGTAAGTGAATCACAGGGATGGCTATTTCCATGCTGTTCTCATGATCGTGAGTGAGTTCTCACAAGATCTGATGGCTTTATAAAGAGCTTACCCCCGACTTCAGTCTGCACTATTCCTTGCTGCCCTTATGTGAATAGGGATGTGTTTGCTTCCTTTTCTGCTGTGATTTTAAGTTTTCTGAGGACTCTCCAGCCCTGCAGAACTGTGAGTTAATTAAGCTTCTTACCTTTATAAATTACCTGGTCTCAGGTATGTCTTTATTAGCAGTGTGAGAATGGATTAATATAGTAAATTGGTACTGGTTGAGTGGGGTATTGCTATAAAGATACCTGAAAATATGGAAGCAACTTTGGAACTGGATAACAAGCAGAGACTGGAACAGTTTGGGGGGCTCAGAAGTTTGGAATGGATGTATTCACCCAATGCCTGTACCCCCATTGTATCTAGGAAGTGACTAACTTGCTTTGATTATACAGGTTCATAGACAAAAGGGATTTGCCTTGTCTCAGATGAGACTTTGGACTTGGACTTTTGAGTTAATGCCAGAATGAGTTAAGACTTCGGGGAACTGATTGAGGGTTTGATTGTGTTTTGAAATGTGAGGACATGAGATCTGGGAGGGGTCAGAGTTGGATTGATATGATTTGGCTGTGTCCCCACTCAAATCAAATCAAATCTCGCCTTGAATTGTAGTCCCCATAATACCCATGTGTAATGGGAGGGAGCCAGTGGGAGATAGTTGAATCATGAGAGCCCATTGCCTCCATGTGCCTCCATGCTGTTCTCATGATAGTGAGTGAGTTCTCACAAGATTTGATGGTTTTATAAGGGGCTTTCCCCCTTTTGGCTTGGTACTTCTTGCTGCCACCATGTGAAGAAGGATGTGTTTGCATCAATTGAACCTCTTACGTTTATAAATTACTCAGCCTCGGGTATGTTTTTATTAGCATGAGAACAGACTAATAAAGCTACCTTTACTAAATTCACCTGTAAACAAACTCTCATGTAAATACTATGGACTTCCAGTCATGAAGGAAAATGACTGACAGAAACTTACTCTTCTACTGTAAACAATTAAAAAACTGAACCAAATATGTGAACATAAAAAAAAAAAAACCCTTTCTGTTCAGTTATTTCACAAAAAGAAACATCCAGACTCTGATCCTTGAACTTAAAGAAACAAATGAAATGAGCAGCACTCTCACCCTGGCCACCTTCCTAGGAATATTTTCCAGCCTGGCTTAGGAAGGTGGAGCTCAAGCAGCAAGCTGCAGCCTTATTGAGCTGAGGAGGAAGAAAACAGAATGTATTGTTTATTTTGGAATTTTTTATTTGTTCACTCATATTTTCCATAGAGTATTTTTATGGGAGAAGTGCATACTGGTTTCTGTAAGAGAGTATCTTGAAGGCAACATCTTTTCAAAAGCAGATTATCAAAAAGGAAGGAACAAATTAACTCATTAAAAGAAACTAGAATGAAAGCAAATGCAAGATTTAGAATTGAAGTATGAGTTTAGCGTATGCCATTCTCTGTCCTCTTGTCTCCCCTGTGAACCATGAAAAAAAAAAGTACAGTGCAGGCAATGAGCAAGTCATTGCAGTTACCAGAGATGGAACATTTATTAGGACAATGAGTGTGGGAGAAAGTCTTAGGTAAGTTGGTGATTGATTACGTATTTCTAATTTAGAATTTTCTTAGTGCCACATCCAACAACAAAGTTAGTTGAGGCACAAAGAAAATGAAAGAATGTGACTGGTGTATCAGAGAGAAGGTGAAGAAAGACACATGTATTAGAAAAGCACAGAGCTTTGCCTAAAAAACAAACAAAAACAAACAAAAAAACAAAAACAGGTGCTAGGAGGCCTGGGTTCAGAATGAGGACACACTTATCTATTTGAGACCTAGTTAGAAGATGTGACAAAGATGCCCTTTTCTGACTTTATGATTTCTTGAGGTTAACTTCACTAAAGATAGTAAAAATCAATGAGAGAAAGGTGAAGACGTTGAAGTCACAAATAAGTCATTACAAATCTTTTTACCTTCCTCCACTTCACAGGGGGATTTCCCTGGCTGTACGGTGATTACAGCAGGACTTTGTCTACAGAAAGTAGTGATAAATGCTCTTTGAGTTGAATGCAACTAAATTGAATGAATGTGAGTTGAATTGATTTGAATCAAATTAAATGAACGGAAAGTACAAGAGAAACAATTTTAATTTAGATAATTTGACAAAGAGTCTAGAAAATTACCTAGTCTAATAGCCTCTGATGAGAGCGAAGATTACAACACGTTTTTAAATGAAATTCAAGAGCATGCACACCTAATTCGTGGCACAAACAAGATTAAGTTCTAGTTTTTGAAGTTTCTGCCAAATCTTACCTTCACTATGCCACACTATATAAGAACTTTGTGACCTACAAATATAGCTAATAATAATAATAATAAAGCCTGAATGAAGAGGAAAATAATTTTTACATCTATAACTAAGGATTGCTGAGATATGATGGATGAAGAATAGATGTGAAGACTAAAAGCCACAATTCTATAATATGGCTTTAACTTTCAAAGCGGAAGTGATTTAGACAGTCTAGTGAGATATGCTTTTATAATCTGAGAAAAATTATGTTGATGCTATGAATGAAGATATAGATGTGTTAAAATAGAATGAATTAGATAATGAACTCATTGTCATCTATTGAATTATCATAATTTCTATTACTAGTGTCAAATTTTTACACAATGAACTCTGATGAAATCAGCCATAATAAGTTAACTAAATTCATCATCTTCACAAGTGAGGTTCAATACTGGCTGCCTGAAAATCAATCAAGATAATGTAAAAAACAAAATTGAATGTGAAAATATTGGTTTGTGATAACAGGAAACATCCAAAATTTGCATTGGCACAGATTAAATGGGCTTAATGGTTTGAGAGGAGATTATGAATTTAAAAATTAATTTGTCTTTCTACTACTCCAGTTTGATGCCTTAGAAACATTTTATAAAAGTCTTTTGATTTTATAACTCACAAATGGCCTATTTATATTTGAATATTTCTCTGAGATGATATCAAATTTTAAAACATTTCTTGTAACAATTGGGTGGATATTTCTTAATGCTGATATTACATGTAAGGAATATTTGTATGGGAGATTTAATAAAGACAGTATTTGCAAAAAGTAATCACTTGTCAGACTTCAGTGATTCCTAATCTGGCCACAGTGGGGCAGCACTTTACAGGAAAATTAAAATCATATCCTAAATAAAATTCTACATGCAGTGCAAGGCATAACACACTGTTCTATATGATGTGGTCATTACAGTTTATGTCAGGTGGGGAGAGGAAGGGTTAAACACCTAGGTGTAATTGACATAAAAAATGATTAAAGCAACATATTGCCCTCATAATTGGAGTTTAAAAAAAATAACAACAGGACCCAAGAAACATTTCTATATTGTGTGCTTTGTTTTGCAAATAAATTTCGTATTCAATATAAAGAAACTGTAGAAAATCCAAAATCAATAATATTATTAAATAATTGGAAGAAAAAAGTTGTTTTGAATTTTTCTTGGGCTTTTAAAACTTTTTAAATGATGTATATTTGTGTAATTGTTCTTTCCTTGGTAACAAAATTTTGGAAATAAAAGCATAACTTATTATAAATAACATAGACAAATCTTAGCATGTCATTGAATCATGTATCTTCAAATGTATAAAAGCCCTTTACTGTACGCTAAGATATAATTAAGGAGCCTAAATTCGGGAATGATTTCTTTCAGAGGAAAGTCTATTCCGTATAATAAAAAGTATATTACTTTCTATTATTTATATATATATATATATATACACACACACACACACACACACACACACACACACATAAGTTTTATATATATGGAGAGGAAAAGAAATAGAGTTTACCAAGCATTTAGTGCTTACTAAGCATGAGAGTTCTCTGTATTGGCCCCACTGCCTTACTTTCTCAACAGCAGTGTACAAGGGTTTCCCTCATTTCCCTTTTCTCCACATTCTCGCCAGCGTTTGTTATCTTAGGTTCCACAAAAATTTAGAAACAGATTTACCATATGATCCAGTAATCACACTTCTAGGTATATACCCAAAAGAACTGAAATCAGGATCCCAAAGAGAAACCTGCCCTCCCAATTACTGTACCACTGTTTATATTATTCAAAAAATGGAAGTAACCTAAATGTTCATGGATGGATGAATGGATACAGAAAATGTGATATATACATACAATAGAATATTATTTGGCATTAAACAGGAAGGAAATATTGCCATTTGACACAACATAGATGAATATGGATAATATAATGCTACGTGAAATAAAACAGACACAAAAGGACAAATAATATGTGATTCCACATAGAAGTAAATATTAGAATAGTGGTTTCCAGGGGCTGGGGGCAGCGGAAAGTGGGAAGGTATTTGCTAAGGATCAAGAGTTTTAATTTCACAAGTTCTAGAAATCTACCGTACAGCATAATGTCTATAATAAACAACACTGCATTATATACCAAAACATTTGCTAAGAAGATATACCTTGTATTAAGTGTTCTTTCTTATCATCATCATCATCATCATCACATCATCATCATAATTAACAAAGAAGACAGAAGAAAACTTTTGGAGGAGATTGACAATTTATGGCATAGATTTCAGTGATGGTTTCACAAGTGTATACGTATCTCCAAACTCAACGAGCTGTATAAATTAAATATGTACAAGATTTTGTATGTCATTTATAGCCTCAACAAATTGGTTTTAAAAATTATAAAGGGCTGTTCAAAACCCCTTATATATGATATTCATTTTGAGACTCTTCTGAATGACTTGTATTTTTCAAATCCACTTCTGATTTTACATATTTTAGTGGCAGCTGTCTATGCAGTTCTGCCTCTCAATATTCCTATTTTATCTAGCTACACCTACAACTCATATCTATAGTAATTATCTAAGTTGCTAGTTTCAATCCATCTTACTCCCAGAACTGAATCACAACATTTCATGTCCCCTACTATCATTTTTTTCTTTCATAGCTGACCTACCACAGTTCCTATACACTGTCCTTCTGGCCAATCGAACATGGGGTACATTATATTTCTCATGCCATTTATTTATTTATTTATTTATTTATTTATTTAGGCTGGAGTGCAGTGGTGCAATTTTGGCCCACTGCAACTTCTCCCTCCTGGGTTCAAGCGATTCTCCTGCCTCAGCCTCCTGAGTAGCTGGGATTACAGGCACATGCCACCATGCCCAGCTAATTGTTTTGTATTTTTAGTAGAGACGGGGTTTCACCATGTTGGCCAAGATGATCTTAATCTTCTGACCTCGTGATCTGCCTGCACTGGCTTCCCAAATTGCTGGGATTACAGGTGTGAGCCATCACGCCCAGCCTTCTCATGCTTTTTAATATGTACAACATTCCTTAATGAATGAGCTGCTTTTATGAAGCTGAAACATATCTAATAACAAAGAAAAAAAGGAGAATGGATAAAGAATATAATGGGAAATCTGATACAAACAAATGATTAAAAAGTTATTCAAAAATCATTGGTAGGTGGAGCTTAGCAATATATTAAGTACACTGAAGAAAAGTAGCATTTTTATTGAGATCCAAGGTGATTTAATATTTAGAAATCTATTAACATGATAAAGTATGTTAAAATTCTATAGTAAATCAAAGGCAACACAATGCATAAGCTGAAACATTAAATACATTTCCATTTCAGTCAAGAACAAGACAGCCAAGGATTTTGCATCATTTAGCAGTGTTTTTTTATGTGTTAAGTCAAGAAAAGACTTGGAACAAAACATCGTTAATATTAACAGATGATTTGACATTTTCTAACAAACCCAGAAGAACCAACCAGTAAACTATTAAAAATTTAATAAGCATTTTTTCAGTGTTTTAACATAAATCATATAAAATTTTAAAATTAGATCCTTTAATGATAGCATTAAATATGTCAACTTTTGATGAATTAACCTAACACAAAACTTGACATTGAAAAGCACTGATAAATAAAAATTATGAAAATTATGCCAACAAGTGAAATAAAAATACCTGATATATTTATGTAGTAGACATCCCAATTAAAGTCACCATTAAAATTTTTAAAAACTATTTCTAAATATTTCATTAAACCATAAATTGATGAGAAATCATAGTCAATTTTAAAATAAAAATGATAATGAGTATCATGTATTACACACATGTTAAAATTGATCATAGATAAGCTGCAATATAACTAATGTTATTCTGGTACTAAAATATACAAATAGATAATTTTCGAAACAGTTATGAAAGCTTCAAACAATTATGTAGCGGTGTGTTACAGTATTTTTAAAAGCATTTGAATAAAATAATATAAAAGATAAATTAATGTGATCAAATAGTATTTTTAAAGATGCTCATTACAGCAATCATGAGAAATATAAGAAAGCCCAAAGATTTAACATAATATCAAGTACATTTTATTATCCATACATAGAATGCTAAGTAATCACTGAATGAAATGGAAATTATTATAATATATAATTTAAAAATATAAGTGTACAAAATATTTAGTATTGTCCCAATTGTATTTTCTATTAATATTTTATTGTATATTTTATTGACAGATTACAAAGTATATATAATCAACCTTTTTGGGAACATTTTTCCAATGTCTTAATAAATCCTTTGCATTATCATTTGCAGATGTCTTCATAACAATTCATTGTTTAATATGCCATAATGTACTTTAAAAAAATGGTTTAGGTTATTTTTTTTCCTTTCCCTTTGGCTGTTTTATCAAGTTCTGGAGATGGAAGACTTTGACTTACATATTTATTGTTTGTGCATTCTTGACTAGGTAAGATCTAGCCCCTGTTAATGGAAATTATAAACAAAGGGCCTACTGAGGTTTCTACAAGGCTGAAATGAGGTGAAGTACATAAAAGTTTTAGCATAATACTTGGCACATAGTAAGCATTGAGTGAACAGTAGCCAATTTTATTTAAAATATTAGCATAAACATCGCTGTAAATAATTTTTGTGCAAATTTATGAGGTTTTTGCTCAGAAGAAATCTTAGAGGTAAAATATCTGAGTCAAAGGAAATAATCATAAAAATTTTGATAGCTATTACTAAGCTATCAGTAGGGAATATTAGCAATGCAGTAAAGATCCTTGTGCCTAAGACACATGAAATGGCTTTCCTTCCTGTTCCTTACCAGTTTTGGATGTTAGAGATTTATTTTTATTATTTTAAATTTGTACTTACTATGTATACATAATGGTTGTACATATTTATGGGGTACATCTGATATTTTGACACAAGCAAAAAATGTGTAATGATCAAATCGGGACAAATGGGATATTCATCACTTCAACACAATGTGCCTTTATGTTAGGAACATTCCAATTCCATCCTTTTAGTTATTTTTAAATGTACGATAAATTACTGTTATCTGTAGTTGTTCTATTGTGCTACAGAACACTCAATCTTATTTCTTCTTTCCAACTGTATTTATGTACCCATTAATCATCCCCTCTTCACCTTCCCTCGAGCTACCCTTCCTACCCTCTGGCATCATTCTACATCATTCTATTGTTTCCATGAGTTCAATATCTTTCTTTAGCACCCACATATTAGTGAGAATGTGTTTCAGTGTCTGGCTTATTTCATTTAACCCAATATCCTCCAATTCCATCCACATTGTTGCAAATAATAGAATTTTATTAAAATGAAATAATGCCAACATTCTGGAAATATGTACATTAAATATTGGCAAGATCCATCTCTGCTTTTTCTATGTTTTTTCATTTTTTGCAGTGTTTATATCACTTACATAATCAGAAAATATTATTTATAAACATCAAATACTGAAACAAGTTTTTTTGAGGATGTTATTACTGTATTGTGTACCTAGAAAAGAGAATTAATGGAAATACTATTATAACTAAGAAGATAATTAAGTGGCCACACACAAAATCAACATATAAAAATTAAGAGTTCTATATACCAGTAATCTCTGATTAAAGACTTTTAAAGAAGTTTATATTCACATGAAAATAACCATTTTAATGAAAGATATATTTTCTGGATTCTTAATCGGGAGTCATTACATCACTCCTTCAAAGACTGTGTTTTAGTAATATATTTTGTTATTGTTATTTTCATTGTAATTAAATGCATTCTGCTTACTGTGTTAAAATATTATTCTGAGATAAGATTCATAGAATTTACCTATGCAAAGATGTTAGATAATGGTACCAAAGAAGGTTAGAAAACCCTGAATATTCTAGAGAATTATATCATTTTATTTTATTTAAACTT